GGCTGCCTCGGCAGAGCGGGATGTGTCCGCGTGCAGCCCCCAGCCCCAGCGCGCTGCACGGGGGGCCCGGGGCGAAGGAAGGAGGTTTTCTGTGTTGTCCTTGCGCTTGGTTTCTAAGCGGGATAGTTAAAGGGAGGGCGGACAGAGATCAGGCAGTGGAATCCTCTGATGGGGTGAAATGAATCCAGAGGAGCAGGCGGGCGGTTCGCGAGTCAGCAGAACGAGGAGAAGAAATATCTTCCGCAGGAGCCACTTGTGTAATGGCTTTATTAACTAGTCCCCGAAAGAGCTCGTTTCAGTCGTGCTGTGCAGAGCGCTGGTGGCAGCAGCAGAAGTGGGGAAACTCTTCTGCAGGTTTTTCTGCAGAGGCAGCCTGGTGAGGAGAGTGATGGTGCCTCAACCAACCGTCCAGGCCATGAAACTCTACCTTGGCAGTTGTCGGCAAAAACAATAGCAGCTCATAAACCCCTGGAAGTTGATAAGGTTGTAAGTAACGTTATACGTAAGATACAGTTTCCTTGAGGAATGTTAATAGACATCCCTTCCGGAGCAGCTCGGCAGAAGGTTTACAACAATATTCACTTCCAGCCATGGAGTCAATCACAGTGGGCTTTAGTCGTAATTATACATCTAAATATATGCCTGTTTTGCTTCCTGCTGCCATTCCCGGCATCAGACACTGAGGTGGGTTCGTCACTTGCCAACTCTCATCAGTTCTCAGCTGGAATAGCACAGAACCTCTTGATCAAAGGAGAGTGATCGAGCTCCTCTTCACCACCTTAGAATTTGCCTATTCTTGTATCACAGAGAGAGTGCTTTGTTAATTATTTAGATAGCAGACACTTCATCTGGAAAAGAAAAGAAAAGGAAAACCACATAAAAGGGAATTTTTGAATGAGGTGTGATAATTAACTGCTAGTCGTCGTATATTTTTGTATCCCAATGTTATCTGAACTTTATTTTACTTTGTTTTTCCATGGCTTTGTGACTTACATAATATAAAGTAGGAAAACTGTGGCAAACAAGGTGTAGCTCTGTTATGTAAAGATTAATCATCCTTTCTTCTTTGAAATTATTTGGGGATCATGTTTGTGTTCCCAGATGGCCTTTTGGTGAATCTGAAGGGAAATGGGATTAAATTAAGGTTGTGAGTTGCTGGTACCTGTCAGTTCACAGTGTGAAGATATTTGAATGAGGGGACTGACTACTGAATTTTTTTTTTCATCTGTGACAATTTACAGTTACTACAGCTTTCCCTATTCTTTCCAAGACCAAATAAATTGAAAAGTAAGTATTCTGAGATAATGATAAATCTGTCTCTCTGTCTGGAGAAGTAGATGGCTTTTCATGTTTTGTTTATTTGCCACTGGCAATTTTTCCTGGAAGTAGCAATTTAAGCAGGGTAAGTTTAGCAGGTTCAGTCACAACAGCGATAAGATGTGTAACTGCAATGACAGCATGCTCCTTTCCCAGTTAGTGAAATGCAGGTAGTTGAGGAACAGTCCTGTGGTATCCTCTCATGATGCTTTTTTTTAATGAGCAAGGGTAGGTTTCCAAGCAGTACCATCCAAAATATCCAGTGGGACCCTGTAACTGCTGCTAATTATTCCCCGTGTCTAATGTGGGATCTGCCTCAGGCTCTGCTGTTACTCAGACAGCAACACTGGCTGGAAAAGCTCAGTCTGAATGCTTCCTTTTACAGAAACCACTCTGAGCTCCCTAAAGCAGCCGCACGCGGACAGTCCCCCGGTGGTACCATCACCGCATCAGCGGAGAGACTCGGACAGATACTGCCAGCTCTGCGCAGCCTGGTTCAACAACCCCATGATGGCACAGCAGCACTACGATGGCAAAAAGCACAAGAAGAACGCGGCCAGGGCCGACCTCCTGGAGCAGCTGGGGAAGACTCTGGACCTGGGAGAGCTGAGAGGTGAGAGCACCGGTGCGCGGAGAGCACGGACCTGCTCCTGGTGGGGTCTAGTGCCCGCAGCAGTGCCGCCCCGGCCCGCTGCGGTCGCTGCTCCTCTGCTCGGGTGGCGCAGGGGAGGCTGTGGTGCTCCTACTGCTCTGTGCGGTTCCTGCTACCATAAAAAAAAAAAAAAAAAAATCCCCTCCAAGATGACAGTCTGCAGCTTTAGCAGCATCCTTTAAAAGTTGTTTCCTAGATATGTCTTTTGCCACTTCCTAAAATAGGCCCTTCCATTAGCACACGCTTCTGTCCCTGAGCAAATGTGGGCCATCCCTGTGAGCTGAGAGGAGAAGAAAGTGCTCAGCCCCGGAGGGAAATGGGGACGGGCATGTTTGCTGCAGGCAGAGCACTCCCTACATCTCCCTGATGGAGAGCGGAGCATTAGCTGTCTTCTGTGATTTAATTAGTGCTTGTAAAACGCTGCAACGGCCCTGGGTCAGCAGCAGCAAAGAGGAACCGAGCATTTGCTATGGGCATGTTAAACACAAGTTTTCTGTGTTCTTGCTGAACGGAGAGCAGCCTCCATCCGTCTGTCTGTCTGTCCGTGCATCCCCGCCCTGCTGGGAAGGCTGTGGCACCCGCAGGGTCCCTGTGGGGTGCTGCAGCCTGGGATCACCCGGATTTGGGCCTTGCATCCTGCTGGGAGCCCCTCTCATGCGGAGCCGCAGCCTGGCTAGTAGCCGTGGCCACCAGAGCCCCCCGAGCATCCCTGGTCGCAGCCGCCGCCTGGCGCTGAGGAAGGACCGGCTCCATCACGCTGTGCCTGTTGTGGAGACGTGCCAGTTTACACCGGCTGAGGATGTGGCTCTGGCTGAATTCTGAACAAAGCGCCTCTTTAATAGAGGTGTAATTACAGGAGGAGAGGTACGAGCCTCCCATTGAAAGTTTTCTCTGTGGTCTTGATTATAATCCTGTATGCACACAATGTATTTGACTGAAGTAGGCTGAGGAGAAAGTGCAGGTTTGATTTTCAAAACCATGTGGGAGAGGAAGTCTGGTTTGCCAGCAAGAGATTGCATTAACATTTTAGAATACCTTTTTTTCCCTTGCTAGATGGAATAATTTTCCTTTAAATACTAACGACTATGCAGTATATTGTGCATTTCTTGATCTCAAATAAACCTTGTAATGGTTATCCAGATCCTTCGTGTGCTACCTAGTGTGACTCACAATGCCATAAATGATTCATGTGGCTGAGTCACTGCCCGCTGTTGAAAATATGCGGGGAAATAAAACCTGGGACAATAACATGGAAGTGCTTAGTACTTTGAACTGTGCCAAGCTCAAGAGTGGCTGAGGATGTCATTAACTGTAAATGAATCAATTGTGAAGTGTTTTATTCATTTAGCTTGTGCCTAGGAGAGTTGAAATAGGAGGACTTAACACACTCATCAGCCCGTGTTGTTTTTTAACTTTACGGTGGTTCTGTGCATGGTTGGGATTTGCAGCTGAACCTAGTGTGGTCTTGCCAGTGTCCATCGATTGCGGGAGAGGGGGGCTGCAGAGCTGTGCCGTGGCTGTACACATCCCCGGGTACAGGGTACAGGGGAAATCCAGCTTTGGTCCTCTGGACACTTCCAGGCTGTTGTTTCGGAGTCTGCAGTTCATGGGTGTCCAGTGCTTTCTCATGCCAAGGAGCTGCACAGCCAGACTCAGTGAGCCCAGGAGGATGTTCTTGAGCCTTGTGATGGTGTCCTGCAAAGCTTGCCTCTGCTGCTGAAGTAGCAGTATGGCTGGGAAATCCTCTCTTTCACCTCTTCCTTGACTAGGAGGTGTGATATGCTCTCCTGTATGCGTTCAGCTGTGAGGCTAGAGCAGATTTCTACAGATGCTGTGTTGGCTATTGCAGAGATCTGCCTTCTGTCTGAGAAAATAGCCTTATCTTGGTATCTTCTCTGACTCCAGGAGAAATGATAACGGTTGCAGTCAGAGATACCCAGTGTCAGTCAGTTGTCCCAGATTGTCAGCAAAATCTTGTCTGACCACTGCTTTCGATGTCCAGTGTGTTTGGTGTTCGACAGTACGTGGTAGGGATTACAGCTGTGTCCTCTACTTGCTCTGCACTTGTTTTGCTACCCTGGTATTTGCTAGAATGCAAACTCATTTCCTTTCCACACTACCCTCGGTGGCTTCTCCCAATCACAACTTAAATATTAATTCTATTTTGACTACTGTGGAAGACGAACAGTTGATGCATTGTGCGAGCCTGGAATAAGCAGTGTTGGTTGAAGGTAAAACATTCCAGCAGCCTTCGATGTTTTGATAACGGCTATAATAAAATATTTATTGATAAATATGAATGTGTATTTGGAGAAGTAAGAGTAGAGATATATTTTTGGACAACTGATATTTATAGGAAACAAAAGCATTGATTCTTCTTGCCAGGTGCTCATCCTGCGATTGTGAAGTCGTCTTTTCTTCTCAGAAATGAGAAAGAGGAGGGGAAAAAAAAGGAAATAGAAACCTCACTAACAGCACCATTTCTCTAGTCTGTCTTACAGACTTAAAGCCACGATACCTGCGAGTGTACAGTCACACAGCCCAGATGCTTTGGCCGAGCGGAGGGTGCTTTGCAGGTTATTCGCAGCGCACGCCGCTGCTCTGAGCAGAGTCTAGCCTGCTCTCTCCAAGCGGCTTCGTGCAGCTTTCCAGCCTTGCTCCAGAGGTCCAGGACCCCCGCTCCGAGGGCTGGCCTGGAAACCCTCTGCTCTCATTCGTTAGGAGCAAGCATGGACACACCCTGAAAGCGGAAGAAATGAAGAGGTTTTTTTCCTGCAAAGCTGCCTCCTCTATCTGCTGCTATGTCCCAGCTGATCCTGGAGCAGATCATAAAAAGACAAACAAACAGTGGGTATGGCAACAAACCCTGAATTGTGGGCTGTTCCCCCGACAGCTTGCGCCTGTCCAGCAGCACGGCGCAGAAGCTGCTCCGTCGGAGGCGCTGGTGCGGCTCCGTCCGGCAGCTCTCGGCTCCCCACAGCTTGCGCCGGGCAGAAAGCGAATTGCGATTTTGCTCCATCAGGTCGCATTTCACCAGTTTCACTTCACGTCCGGCATGATCCGTTGCCGAGCTCTCTTGCGTTCCTCCTCTAACGTAGGTGGGCTCTGCTGGGGCAGAGGCCTTGCCGCAGAGACTGGCAGATCTCGTTCATGGGAATTTAATTAATGACGGGTTCCGCTTATTGCTGGTGCTGAGCCGAAACTCCACAGCAAAATGCTCTCTTTTTGAAGGCTGATGCAGTGTTTGAAGTCTGGGCTTCATTAAGTGGATTCCGTGTGTCCTTTCCTTTCCTACGTGTACACCTTTGAATGAACAAAACGAGCAGAAGACTTAACGTACAGACAGACCCTCCTTCACCTCGTCGGTGCTCATAACCCGCGCTTCAGTGCCCCTTGCGTGACAGTAAACGACTGGCCAAGGCGCCTGGGGCTCTCTTTGACGCCTGCCAGTAGAACTTGAATTTTACGTAGCGATTGAGGCAGGTTCAGGGCCAGCCTTGTGTACCTGGAGCTGACTAGGTGGGATCCTGTAAGCTGCAGGAACGTGGGTCGTCTTCCCAGGGTGCTTGGTCCTGGGTGAACCAGAAAAGCACCAGGCCCTGGAGCAGAAACTGGTGCCTCTCCAGGGGATTACACTGTGAATCCCTAAAATAAAATACAGCAGCCTCTGCCGTAAAGCAGAATTGGGATGGTGGCACAGGGCTGTTGTCACCTGAGGCCTTTGTATTTTCCGTTAAATTCTCAGTTGCAGATGCTATCTTGAAAAATAGGGCAAAGAGCTGAGTTTCGTTTTCTTCTCAGCTCACAATTTCTCTGTATGCCTTACATACTTTTCATTCTGTGCTGTCACTTTTGGTTAGTAAAGAGCAATTTAACAGGTACTCCCCTGGAATGTGTTTTAATGCATTTTATGCACAATGACATTAAGGACTTGACTTGTTAATATTTTACCTAATGGATATAGGGGCACATTCAATTTTACATGAGTGCATGTCACGATGCAGGGTAGGGAATGTGTTTTGAGGATGCACAAGTCGATGTGAACGCAGACAGAGCACAGCATTTCCTAGTACAGACTGCCCTGGTCGGGACCACCTTCCTATTGCAGACCGCCTGCTGAGCTAGTGCACAACTCCAGCACGCTTTGGCTGGGTGCATTTTATGAAACCACAGATTCGGCCAAGTTGGCAGCTCTGGTAAGCTCCAGTGAGATCAAATACTGTTAGTTTTGGTATTCTGGAGGTGATTGTGGCCTGTGGTTTCAGCCTGCAATTTATCTGAGGCTAGTTCCTTTCTCCATATCTCGCTTTGGTGGAGTTCATGTCACACTCAAGGCTTTTCCTGTACGAGTGCATCTCAGCTGAAATCCAGCATCCTGAGAAGTCCTGCAGTCCCTGTCCCACCGCAGGAATGACGATCCCGGGCGTGAGGTGAGCGGGAGCGCGGCCACGCCGGGGCAGCATGGTGTTGGGGAGCATGGTGTGGCTTCCGGCATCGTCAGCCCCAGCAGTGTTTCCACCCATCTAAAACGTACCCGTGTGTGCTAGCGGGCGTGCGAGCCTGCTGACCGCGAGCGAGTTCGCAGAATTGGCCCACGTGCGGACACGTTTTCTGGGTGGTGGGAAGAGCCGCTGCTGCGGGGCAGCGCTGAGTCCCCGCGTGCTGGACGTGGTGGGGGACGGGGTTCCCCCTTGCTGATCATGGTGAGCAGCCTTGGTGCTGGTGGAAAAAAGTCCGTGTCCTCAGTTAGGAGCTGTAATCGTGGATGGCACTTTCACCTACACAAGTAATTAAGATTCAGTAAGGCTGCTGTTAATATATGCTGTTAAATTAGCTTCTGAGCATTAGAACCCGATTACCTTAATGTAAAGTGTTACCAGTTTCTTACTTCCCCAGTCCTGATCTCTGCTGTGCGGCAATCACGGCACGGCCCGAGCGCTTGGTCTGCAGCGAGGTGCTAATGCACCTCCCATGTCAGCCGTGCGCTGCCGTTTCCACCCGTTGTGGCACGAACGCGCGTGGTTTCTGGTGCCCGTTAGCTTAGTAAAGGAAACAGGAGCTATGGGGAGAGGGTTTGACGATACAACCATTGCTGCTGAATCAAGAAAAGTAAGTAAGAAAATTCTTACTAGTAAGGAGAGCATCCATAAGCATATTTGCAATTTGATTTTTATTCTGTGCCACATCATGAAACATAGAAATATAGGTGACTATTTAAATACTTGCGCATTATCGCTTACTTGCTATTTTCAAGTGCTCTTGTGAATATTTTAAAAATAAAGCAGATGTTTAACTTTATGTTGGGCCAAATTCCTAGGTGAGAGATGTTGAGGTGTTTGAGAAAAGTGGGACTGTTAGTATGGCTAGTGTCTGAAGTTCAAAAAAGGAAAAGTGATTTTTTGGGAGTTTGTAGGTACAGCTGGGGAATGGTAAGTGTGGATATAGCTTATGCAATTAATTATGGTAAGCATAAACTGATTGAATTTGAGAATGCCATACATTACTTGTTCTAAATTAATTGTTTTAACGATTTCTGCAAAGAAGTAATACTGTGGAAAGTCAAAAGAGTCTTATTACATGGTACATTGAAACTGTTCCTAAAGAGTGCAGCAGCCCGTGGTAAGGATCCAACAACTCTGGTATTTTTAAGCAGAGCCTTTCAATTAAGCTTGAAACGATCTGTTCAGATCTTCATGGAATTGAATCAGTGCAAAGCAGAAACTCGACCTCAGAGGCTCTAAAATTTTCAATTCCCTTTTTTTCTAGGACAGGACAGAAATTACTTTAGCATCAATGGTTTACTGTAATGCCAATGCACGTGTAATGTCAGTGATGCTGATGCAGCCTGTGATGCCGAGGGAATTATTAGGATGTTAAAATACAAAAGAGAGGAGGAGAGAAGAAATCAGTCTCCGACACTCAGCATGCTAAGGGAGACAACAGCACCAGGGGACTGGGAACACTTAGTTCTGTGTTTATACGCTTAATTCTTGTCAGGTTTTGCCCTACATACCAGGAGTAAGAGCTCTCAGGTTGCTGTCGCTCTCTTTCAGGGATGTCCAGAAGGGAAACAGGCGTTTAATATACATTCAGCCGCACTCTGTCTTTTTGGTGAAAGCATGTTAGACGAGGGAGAGAAGTGACTGTTTCTGTAATTCTGCTCTGAAATCACTGTACTCTTTTTCCCAAGGTAAAAGAATAATGGAGTTAAATTGTAGGTACGCTGCCGGGAGAAGAGCCCCGTCCTGTCCTGGGGACTCTGCCACGCTCCGATTTGTACTGACCCTCCCTGTCTTGTTGCCAGGTTTGCTGCATTTGTAGAAACCAGAAAGTGTTTTCTTTTCCTGCCCGTCACGCTTGCAAAGCGCACGGGTACCGCGGGGAGATGCAGCCCGTCCCTTACCCTGTGCCAACGCGGTGACGCTGCCAGCACGGCAGGCCGCGCCTCCCCCCCCGG